TCCTCAGGTTACAAGAAGCCACTGCTTGCAAGATACAGTATTAATTGTCAAATTTTGAGGCAAATTAAAATGGAAAGCAAAAGAAAAATATATATACATTGATTATAAGATTCACCGTCATTTCACAAATATTAAAATGTAGCCCTGCCAGCATGGTTCAGTGGTTGAGCATCAACCTATGAACCAGGTCACGGTTTGACTCCCGGTCAGGGTACATACCCAGGTTGGGGGCTCGATCCCCAGTGTGGGGCATGCAGGAGGCAGCCAATCAATGATTCTCTCTCATCATTGATATTTCTATCTCTCTCTTCCTTCCTCTCTACGATCAATAAAAATATATATAAAGAAATATTAAAATGTAGAATAGGTCCATCTTGGAATTGATGAAACAAAATAATGTCTACTTACCAGGCTTGTGAAAATAAAAGGATTTGGCAAGTACAAAATGTCTGCCACAAATGATATGCCCAATAAATCTAATTTCTTTATACCTCCTCCTCCTTCCCACTGTAGGGCTCCAAAGCCCCAAATGTGCCCACGTCACTGGAACTGCTAGATCCTGCTGCTCCAAGGACATGCATTGGTTCCACAAAGTAAAACCCACTCCATGGCTTAGAGGCTCTCATGATATTTTCCATCATGTCTATTACTCCCTAACCCAAGGCAAGGAATGATTTGCTCAAGGACACCCAATAACCTGGGCACATCAAAGACGAGGCTCGCTTCTTGGTCCCTATGTCTGGAATTAGGGACTTAAATACAAATCAAGGAGAAGAAGGATATTGGGGAATACACGGCTCTAAGCTTCTGTTCGACTTCTTAAAGAAGGAATAGTGATACAGAAGGCAAATGCAGAAGGCAAATACAGAAGGTGGGTTGGTACCAAGATTCTCCGAGCCAGGATCCTGGGCTAGAGATGGCCGGCATTGCCCTGGGTTTCTTTAGCTTCAGTTCTTCATCTTCTACATTCAAGTTCCCCACAAGGTTGAAGTTTAGCAAGGCTCTATGGCCAGGATTAGAAATAGGTGTTTGGCCGAAACCGGTTTGGCTCAGTGGATAGAGCGTCGGCCTGCGGATTGAAAGGTCCCGGGTTCGATTCTGGTCAAGGGCATGTACCTGGGTTGCGGGCACATCCCCAGTGGGAGATGTGCAGGAGGCAGCTGGTCAATGTTTCTCTCTCATCGATGTTTCTAACTCTCTATCTCTCTCCCTTCCTCTCTGTAAAAAATCAATAAAATATATTTAAAAAAAAAAAAGAAATAGGTGTTTGCTTTGCTCCAACTGTTATCAATTGATTTTGTTTGACTGAAATTCTGCATAAGGAAGAATTCTAATAATGCTTCTGGCTTCACTAGAAAAGACTCAGGATCGATTAGTGATGTCTGCTGTGGGCAAAAGGAGGAAGCAATGCAACGATTCACACAGAAGTGGGAAAAAGTAGGTTTACAGTCATGAATGACATGCTTTTAAGTTAATAAAGCTACTGTGGTCATCATAACCTGCATGTCTTTTTTCATAGGAGAAACTGTAAAGCTACTTTTGCCAATGCCTATATATGACACCCCAGCTCTTTGGGATGACAGTAAAAAAGGATCCGCACATGACTAATGAGAATTTCAAGGGCTCTCCAAAAATATTTACCAAACTAAAGCATACAGGACCACAAAGAAATGAAGACATGAAAGCCAAGGCAAGCACTCAAGCACCATTAAGAGAAATGACAACTTTAAAAGTGGAAGAACCCTCCCTTTGGGCTATTTATAGATGGAAGAGTAGGAGAGCAAAGACTGGCATTATACCTGGGCTTGAATGCTACCTCTCCAAGCTGGGAGAGAGCTAGACAAGGCGAGCTTCAATTCCCTTTTCTGAAACTGGGCATAATAATACCTATTTCTCAGGGTTCTCTGAGAATTTTACATCATAATAAATTTAAAGTGCAAGCATACCTCATTTTATTGCACTTTGCAAATACTGTGTTTTTTACAAATTGAAGGCCAGAGCTTCCACTAGCAAAAACGATTATGACTTGAAGTCTCAGAGGATGGTTAGCAATTTTTAGCAATAAAGTATTTTAAATTAGAGCATGTGCATTGCTTTTTAGACATAATGCTATAGCACACTTAATAGGCTACAGTGTAGTATAAACATAACTTTTATATATACACTGGGAAACCGAAAATTCATGTTTAATCTGCTTTATTGCGGTATTTACTTTATTGCGGTGGTTGGGAACCAAATCTGCAACATCTCCTAGATATGCCTGTATTTACCTCAGTGCAAGATATACAGTTGGCCTTCATAAACTGTAGATCCCTAATATTAATTCTGAGAAGCAATGCTGAGCTGCTAAAGAGCACTTGGCGATGAAACACACGGCGGCTTATAGAGTAACCTGCTCAGCAGGGAGGAGGGAACCCTGCTACCCTCTGTCTTCCTGTCTGAACGCCCTTGACTCTCTCCCAGGGAATGACAGTTCATGCGAGGCTTACTGGCTTCAATCTCAGCAGCCAGTTTTTTGTCACTGAAATGATGTAACCCTTCCACCCTAGAGACACACTGTCCTTGTCCATGCCGGTGAATCATGACCCAAAAGGCCAAGGGTGAGGAATTTTTCCACATGCGGTTTAAATTAAGACCCAGTATATCACTGACACACTCTGTCCTGGGCCCCCCAGGTCATCCTGAGAAGGGGTGCCAGGCAGGACATAGCCATCGGCAGAAGGGACCGGTACGAGGATGGCTATGGTAGTGGGTCATGGGAAGAGGTGTTGGGGGGTGTCCCCAATGCTCTTTTGTTTCTTTTTCTTTTTCTGACTTTCTCCAAGAATGGATAAGGAACATGGTCTGCTTTCCTGGTTCTCGACCGATGACTCATCCCCAGCGTAGCAACCACACCATGTCATGTGGAGACACCAAAAAGCTGAGAGAGGAAACAGCAGGCTTACTGGGAGCAGCCCAAGGCAGGAGGCGCCCGGAATCTGCCAGCTAGAAAGACCATAGACAATTAGGACGATTCCCTTCCCTTTGCCAGAGGCCACGCAGCCGAACACAGCCGTCAGTCAGCTGGACTATTTTCAGCCGCCCTGGTCACTCACATCTGGACTTTTACAGACCGGTTCTGAGTTTGGTAGATGAATCACTCGCTGTGGGTCTCTGCACTTCCAGAACAGCCACGACACACCGTGGTCACAATCATACATCTGGGCCTAGTAAATCCTTGCTCCCAGCCAAACACAGGGCCCCACACCTCCAGTTCCTCAACCACTGTTCCCAAGCGAGCCCATCAGTCTCCCATTAAGGACAAGAATGGAAAGCAGAAAAGAAAGCTTTGAAATGAGAGTAAACTTTAGCTTAGCACAAGGTGAGCGAATGATGTCCAAGTTAACAGCAATGGAGGAAAGCGGCCAACGGCAGTGGGGACGGAGCTCTGGGTCACGAAGGTCATGCCACCCATTCAATCCCTTTTTGACAATAACTTGTGTTGCCCTGTGGGGCTCAGGGGTAGGACCCTGCCCTCAGCCCTGCCAATCAATTACACCATCCAGAGCAGATACTGGATCAGGGATGAGGCCATCACAGTCCTGAGGACTTGGGCTTGAGCTGTTGGAAGACAACAGGAGTTTATTCTTGTCACTATTCATACTGAAAATAAGGCCACCAAAAGGCCAGCAGACCCAAGATAGGAGAGTGACAGAACCCTAATCCTATTGTTTAACCCCTTGCTGTGGCCACGCCTGAAACACCTTCAACCAATAATTTACTTTTGTTTCTGTAAGTCAGTTTGAGTAGGGTCTTTGACTTCCGCACCCAATATAATCTTGATTAATATGTCCATTTATAAAGCTCAGGTAATGTGAACTGGCAATCTATAATAATAAAAGCATAATATACTAATTAGACCGGATGTCCTTCTGGAAGACCTTCCAGACGAAGCCAGGGCTGCGAGGGAAGCCCGGGTCCCAGGTGCCAGAGGGAAGCCGGTGCGAGCAGCTAGGGGAAGGAAGGCCTACTCTTTGCACGAATTTCATGCATTGAGCCTCTAGTAAAAGATAAAAGGGAGGAAAATGAAGCCAAGTCTCCAAAGAACTGATTCAAGCTGTGTCATCTGGGGAAAACCACTAACCCTTCCTGAGCCTCGGTTTACTCCTCTGCCTGTTGGGATTAATCCTGGGATCCTGTTTTCCACGGGAACGTAGAAAAGATAAATGCGCTGCCATGGATGAGGGGCTTCCCAGAGAGGGAGACCATGAGCAAAAGAGGCACCATTTGCACAGGATACCCAGGGAAGGAGATGTGGAGTGTCAGAGCCCCGACACCTTTGGGAGCACGCAAGTCTCCAAAGAACTGATTCAAGCTGTGTCATCTGGGGAAAACCACTAACCCTTCCTCAGCCTCAGTTTACTCCTCTGCCCGGTGGGATTAATCCTGGGATCCTGTTATCCACGGGAACGTAGAAAAGATAAATGCGCTGCCATAGATGAGGGGCTTCCCAGAGAGCGAGGCCATGAGCAAAACAGGCACCATTTGCACAGGATACCCAGGGAGGAAAGGAGACGTGGAGTGTCAGAGCCCCGAGACCTTTGGGAGCATAAGTCACCTTTTTTCCTGGCTTGGGAGATGAGGTCGGCCGCACTCTTGCTCATGACCTTCGTGACATAGAGAGGGCAGTTGGTTTGGCTGGCGATAGTGATGGCACGGAACACAGCCTCAGCTTCCAGCTGAAAAAAAAAGAAAAGGCCCCTGAAGTCAACAGGAATGGGAGCCTCTCAAAGCCACCACTCCCACCTCCACACACTGAGAACACGGCAGAGGCGAAAAGCCTAGCGCTGAACGCACTGGGCCTAAATCTCATAGAGCTCCTCCTGGCTGTGTACTTCACTGAGCTTCCCAGGGCCTCCGCCCCTCACCTGTGGCGTGGAGATCAGGAGAGGACAGCGCGGGGCCTGGCACAGAGCAAACACTGCCTCAATGCAGCTAGTTTTTCCTTAGCCTATTCTCTCCCCTCCCTGTGATGATCACAAAGGCTACATGTGATGGAAGCCTTTGCTCCCCAATCTTCCCAGGGCAGATTCTCCAGCAAAACACAATCCCAACACCAATGGTATGAAATAACCAGTCCAGGCGATGAGGCGCCATCTGTCTTCCAATCCTCGCCTGCATCAGCCGGTGGTCAGTGAAGGGTTAATTCCAGCAGGCACGCCCTGTACTAATAATTCCCAGGCTTCTCCACACAAAGGCTTCTTTTGTTATCAATCTCCTCCATCCCACCCCAATGTGGAATGCATGTTTGCAAAGATGCTAACCAGCCCAGTTGCATTTATTAAGTAAGAAAGAGTGCGTTGCCCTTATTTTACGAACAAAGCAGGGTCTGAGGGCGCAGTCTTCCTCAAACGGCCTGGATCTGAGTTCTGGTTTTGTCACTTAGAAGTGGGGTGACCTCAGGTGCCTCAAACAACCTCCTAAAGCCTCCGTTTCCTTGTTCATAAAGTGGGGATAATAGGACCTGACACAGGGCTGTTTCTAGCACTAAGAGTTCGCCCATGCAAGGCGACTGGCCCACTCCTGGTACGAGGCCAGTGTTCCTGGAAGGGTGGCTGTTGGTGTTCATGCTGATGTCAGCTTCCGACTGGTGTGCGAGAGCCTGTGTTATACCCAAAGTTACCACCCAACTTAGTCCAATTCAGCCCAAAGCAGAGACACTGGCGTTTTTCCATTCAATCGGCAACATTTGGGATGGCTATGGCATTCTGGTTAGCCTATGCAGCCCAACCCTTTCAAAAAGACCAAAAATAGCTTGCAGATGCCATCTGCAAACCAGTTTCTGCCTGTGGTGATCGTGGCTCAGCAGACAGACTCTTAAGAACTCAGCTGGTCCAGCTGGCGTCCCCCAAGCTGCACTTGGTTCCACGTGGATGAGACCCTGCAGGCCACCAACCCCAGGGAAACTCGGCCACTTTCCTGAAGCTCCCGGAGCAGCATCTCTGAGCCTAGGGCTCAGCTCTGTGAGCAGCTCACTCAGCTGGTACCTGGGTATGCTCTGACCCTAAGAGGGGCTGGCTCCTCCCATGCCCAGTCCTCCCTCTTCACACCTCTGCTGAACTCTCCAGCCTCCCTGTGACCTCTGTGACCTCTGCCCGGGCCCCTTTGATCTCCCTCCCTCCCAGCACTGCAGGTTTTTCAGCACCTCGACAACATGACTATCTTTGGAAGGTTACCTCACTCGCCAGCTTCACCCAAAAGGGCTTCCAGGGTTGTCGAGATCTGCCTCCGAGAGGCTTTCTACTAAAAAGGAGACGGGAACAAGGAATGGGGTGTGGGGGGGTTGGACAAACAAACCAAGGGACAAAAATAGACTTTGCTCAGAAATCCCCTGGCTGCTGCTGAAGGATCTATCTCGCCAGCACATCTCAACAGTGACCAGCATTTAAGAAAAGTGGCACAAACAGCGCCGATCACCCTGGCCTACCTGCACTGTGCAAACTCCCAGTCCCTTCAGACACGATGGGCCCTGACGGCTCTGCTCTTCAGCTTCCTTGTGCACAATAACCCCGACCACCCAGAGCAGCAGCAAGGACAACTGAGACAATGCAGTCAGCACAGTCCTGGGCAAAAGCAACTGTTCCCCAGAGGGCTTGGCACTGAGGACACAGTCTTTCACAGGGATGCTGTGACTGTAACCTCATCACGATTTTTTAAATTGAGGTTTAACTGACATAGGATACTATATTAGTTGCAGGTGTACCACATGATAATTCCATATTTGTACCTATTGCGAAATGATTACCATATGTCTTGTTAACATCCGCCACACACAGTTACAACATTTTTTTTGTGATGAGAACTGTCAAGATCTACCAGGTGTACCACATGATAATTCCATATTTGTACCTATTTCGAAATGATTACCGTAAGTCTTGTTAACATCCGTCACACACAGTTACAACATTTTTTTGTGATGAGAACTGTCAAGATCTATTTTCTTAGCAATTTTCAAATATGCAATACAGTATTATTAACTACACACTATGCTGTACATTACATCCCCATGATTTATGTATTTTGTATCTGGAAGGCTGTATCTTTTAACCATCTTCATTCAATTTCCCTACCCCTTGCCTCTGGCAACTGCCAATCTGTTCTTTGTATCTATGAACTTGTTGTTGTTTTTTTTGGGGGGTGGGTGTGGGGGAGTGATTGTTGTTTTGTTTCTTAGATTACACACTGAGATCCTATGGTATTTATCCTTTTTTATCTAACTAATTTCATGTAGCATAATTCCCTCAAGGCCCATCCATGTTATTACAAATGGCAGAATTTCTTTCTTTTTTTATGGCTGAATATTCCTGTGTGTGTGTGTGTGTGTGTGTGTGTGTGTATCACATTTTATTCATCCATTCATCCATCGATGAGCACTGAGGTTCTTTCCATATCTTGGCTATTGTAAATAATACTCCAATAAACATGGGGGTGCAGATATCTTTTTGAATTAGTGTTTTCATTTTCTTCAGATAAATACCCAGAAGAGGAATTGTTGATAGTTCTGTTTTGAGGGACCAATTTACACTCCCAACAGACAAAATTATAAATTACTTCAACTGGTAACAAAAGTATCATTAGACAAAGGAGTTTCTGGGGTGCTGCTGATGTTCTGTTTCTCCAAAGGGGTGCTACTTGCATAAGTGTATTCAGTTTGCAAATACTCCTTGCACTTTTATGACAGCAACACTCTTCTCTATGTATGTTAGGATTTAATTTTTTAAAAGATTTTGGAGGAGATGGGCAACGGGCATGCAATCATTTCTGGTTCTGACTCCTTCTTCTACCTATTTAGAGTGTGGGGCTTGAATGACAGATCAGGAACATGGTTCACTTCGCTGACATGGAGGACCTTGAATTTGCTCCAGGTGCCAGACCCAGGGTAGTCCCCCAAAGCCAATATGCTCTCAGCCATGTGGGCAGCCAATTTCCAGCTGTGCCCTATGCCGGCAGCTGAGTTTGCTGACATCCCAGAGGCATGGAATCAGCCCCCACTTACCTTTCATCCGCTCTTTAGTTGCTAAGCACAGTCGCTAATCAGCATTCATTTTACATGTGGGAAACTTCCACACCTAGACACAATCCACCCCTTACACAAATCGACAGACGTAATGCCTGTTAAAACCTACTCTGCCTCCTATCCATAAGGCCAATATTTTGCAGGACTCAAAACTGTAATGTGGGACACGGGAATAAATAGAAATGTCTCTGGAATTCACATTGATTAAGAAAGGATTTAGAAATTTTCCACTCCTACTGAATAACTGCGGAATACCTCCAACTGGTGTTATCTTTAGAGAGATTAGGGGTCAGAAGCAAGCATTCCTTTCTCATTTTCTCAGGGGCCCTTGAGTTGGCTCAGTCAAAGTGGTCTTTGGAAGAAATGTTCCAATCTTCTGTCTGGTGCTGATAGAGCCTCGCTGCCTCTCACCATGTTTGCTCAGACACTGTGTGTGCCTGTGCCTAGAGGAGGCAGGCTGAGCACTAGCACTGCCAATGTGAAATGACTGACAGGCCATCCAAGAGGCTGCTGGGATTGGCACTGTGATGATGGGCGTCTCTGGGAAGATGCTGGCAAAAGAAGAAAGCCCCTCCTGCTCTTGCTTCTCTCTCTTCCTCCCTCCTTCCTCCCCCAACCCCCTGCAACTTACCTCCTCTGGTCTGCTCAGCACATGGCCTTCTGGGCCAGTTATCCCCATTTCCAACATCCGGGCTTGCTCCTAGAATGAGAAAAAAATAGAGGACAGTTTTTATTTTTTAAAACTTATGACATCACTTAGTCAAGATTTATTTCAAAGCCTGAAATCATTCAGACCAACCAAAAAATGGTACTACTGCAATTTCTTGTAATGCATCAATATTTACACTAAAACTTTAAAGCTCATAAGACGCTATAAACTAACTCCTAACTCTATTTCCTAAGACATAGAGGGGAGTTTTTAGATGGGCTCAACTGAGATTTGGAGAAGTTATGCTGAAGATGTGTTCAAGGGGGGAAAGAATAAAACATGTATGTTGAACAAATTCATCAACTCTCTAGAGGAATTGCAAAATAGGATAGAGTCTGAATTAAAAGGAGAAAAAAACATTTGAGAGTGGCCTGCTTTTATTAAAAGAAAGATAGTCTGTTAAAAAGTACCATTTTTTTCTACATTGTGCTTCAAAACTCACACAATCACTTATACTTCATTTCTTTCAGATGCAAACCTCTGTAAGCACACTCCCTTAACTCGTTTTTTAATTTATTCATGCATTTAAAACCTATTCATTCAACAAAAGTATTGAGTATCTGCTTTATGCTAGGCTCTAGGTTAGGTACTTACTTGAATTAAGGTAACGAGGCCCCTGACTTGATAAGACTTACAGTGTGGTCCTGCCATTTCCCAGAGTCTAGTCAACCCACCACCTACATCGGAAACATCTGGGTTGTTTGTGGAGATGCGGAAGTCTGGCCCTATTCAGGTCTACCAGATCTGAATACCTGAGGTTAAATTCTAGGAACCTGCGTTTTAGTAAGCCCATCAGGCTCTTTAATGCTTTACTTTTATGACTTAAATGAGTGGATTAGAATTTAACCAGACAGAATACTACCTCTAACCACCATTACCTGAGTTCATCTATGGTCAAACTCTAATTAATTAGGTCTTGGATGAGGCAGAACTGCCTACCCATGGTGGCTAATGGCTAAATTCCTCGGACTTCTGGCCAGCTCTCTGGAAGAAGCAGGTGGCTGGGCAGTGAGTTAGCACACGCATGGCTAACTGGCACTGGCACAAATCCTAAGCCACCATCTCTGCAGTTTTGCTGGCATTCACTCTCCAAGTATGAAGGCCAATTCCTATGAGCCTGTGCACTGGTGACGTGAGAGATGTGGAGAGAGTGAACTGAAACCATGAGGTGTTAGGAAGAAGGAATTCCTTCTACCTGGGAAAGAACTATCTTGTTGTTGATGTTTGTTTGTTTTTAACAATAATTTTTAAAAGAAGAGTAGAAAGGAAGATGCTACTAAAAGCAACCATGACAAGTAAAATGGCCCCTGTGCCCAGCTCTACAGTACTTGATAAAAGGTCAGAGGCTGATTGTTCCAGCAATGTACCTCCATTTCATTCTTACTATTTAATTGATCAAAACTGGGACTGAACAAAACTTCTTCCAAATTCTGGTGAGTTTCCACTTTGAATTGCCTTGTGAACTCACACAAGGGTTAAGGTCTCCAATGAAAGCATCTTCTATCTGTTAGGACACTCTCGCTGTTATCTTGTTTAATAAAAGTTCTGGGACAACGCCCAGGTGAAGGTGACCAGGGGAACTCTTTCAAACACGCTTGTCTGAACACTACTCCCGACCTCCTGAATCTGAGTCTAGAGACCTGGGAGAATCCTAGAAATCGGTCTCCAAGCTCCAGAGGTGACTCTAAAGTGCTGCTCATGCTGGAAAGTCCTGTGCCAAAAGCCAGGTTGCCCCTACAGCTGGAAGATTAAGAATGGCATGTAAGCCTGGCGGGTATGGCTCAGTAATGGAGCGGCAACCCAGGAACCAGGAGGCACAATTTGATTCCTGGTCAGGGCACATGCCAGGGTGGTGGGCTGGATCCCTAGTAGGGGGTATGCAGGAAGTAGCCCATCGATGATTCTGTCTCATCATTGATGTTTCTATCTCTCTCTCCCTCTCCCTTCCTCTCTGAAATATATATATAAAGAATGGCATGTAAAAGGCCCTGGATGGGTATCTCAGTGGTTAGAGCGTCGTCCCAATACACCAAGGTTGCAGGTTTGATCCCCGGTCAAAGCACATACAAGAATCAACATACAAGTACATACAAATCAATGCATAAATAAGTGAAACAATAAATCAATGTTTCTTCTTCTCTCTTTCTTTAAAAAATCAATTAATAAAAAAAAAGAATGGCATGTGAAAAGCCACTGGTGCCGCCTGGCATGGGTGGGGAGCAGGGGCACTTTGAGGTGCTGATCACTGGGGTAAGCACACAGTGTGGGTCAGGGCAGTTTGGTTTGCTCCAGGAGGAAAGAGACCCTGTCTTTTCCATCTTCCCTCTCCAGTGCTTTACCATAATAGGTGCCCAATAAATATTTGTTGGATGAGTGGCTAAGGATGCTGTGCTCTCAGACTGTCCTTTGGAAAATACCCCTGGTTGGGACCCGTAGGGAATGATTTCTTCTTCCTTAGTCACTTTGGCATGAAGTGCAGCCAGAGACTCTGAGGACAGCAGCTGCTTCATTTAGATAATGTGATCAAATCTTTCAGCTCAAGCTGAATTTCATAAACACGCACAAGAAACTCATCCAAATGGAAGAATGCCCTTATTCTCTTCCTAACTCAGAACAGATCTTCCCAAGGTAGGGGGCGGGTGTGGGGGTGGGAGCAGAGACACTTCCATGCCACGGAGCCATAGAGGAAGCGGGAAAAGGGGCTTTGAGTCGGAGCGACTTTGCCTGCTCAGGCTCTAGAATGAAGAAGCCAGGAGTTTGGTTTCTAGGGTATCTGGAGGGAGGCTGGGACCACTGGCTGCTGCACTGAAAACTTGGAGAAGGGGGAGGAGTGATGGCTCTAATACCACCAGATACCTCCCCTGGGAGCGAGGCATTTGGACCTTCCTTAGAAAATGATTTCATTAGCTCTGGGTGTGTGGAGGACGTAGGAGAAGGCTGTCAGGGGCCTGACTAATTAACCTCTTGGTCCTAAGCAAGAGGAAAGTGCACACTTAGCTCACCTCCTCCGCTAGGGAGACAACACTCCAACAGCTGGAGCCCTACAGCTGGACTGGTGGGGCAAGGGGCCCGGATGTACCATCTCTGGGTGAGATGCCCACTGAGGCTCATCACCTAAGGGACTGAGATTCTGTTCTCCCCGTTATTTGTGGTGATCTCTGGGCCAGTGACGTAATCATTCTGGGCCTCAATGTTCTCATCCACAAAATGGGGAGGATGGCAGTCAACTTTAAAGGGTTGGGTGAAGATTCAATGAGAACTTAGGACAGTGATGGTGAACCTATGTCACCTCTGACACGCGAACTCATTTTTTTTGGTTGATTTTTCTTTGTTAAATGGCATTTAAATATATAAAATAAATATCAAAAATATAAGTCTTTGTTTTATTATGGTTGCAAATATCAAAAAATTTCTATATGTGACACGGCACCAGAGTTAAGTTAGGGTGTTTCAAAATGCTGACACGCCAAGCTCAAAAGGTTCGCCATCACTGGCTTAGGAGATCACTTATAGGAGCCTGGTACATGGTAGGAAGTGCTCACCAAGTGGTACCGGCTATTTGGAGCCGACAGGTCTAAGCTAGACTGGGCCGCAGCATTGTTCCCACACCCCTGCCCATCACATTCACCAAGTCCTGGACAACTTCTGAAATGAAGGCAGAGCCCAAGCACTTCCGAGCCGTGGAGGACATCTGTTTTGGCTCACCTCTGTGTAGCCTGATGCCTGGCACAGAGCGCTCAGGAAATACTCTCTGAAAGAATGAATAATGGCTTCTTGCTATTAACCGTATCGCATGGACTAAGAGAGCTCACACGCTTTTCTGGCAGCCTCCATCTAGCAGAGGCCAATCTTGGGATAAACAAAGCCGTGGCTAAGGCACATCTGTGCATCTAGCCCATTAAGCAGCCCTGGAGCTGGGGAGAGAAGTGCTTTCTGCTTCCTCACCAATGATCCATTTGGACCTTGGGACCCTCACTTTCATCACTCCGCAGGTTTTTCAGCATGATTTCTAGGAAACCAATGGGACGTGTAGGTCCCACAAGACTTAAATTCTTTATTATCTATGGCCAGGAGTACCGCAGTCCTGGATCGGATTTCTGGCTTCTGAGAAGTGCTGCCTTAGGGTTTTTCTTTAGGACACAGAATGCCACGTAGCTTGGACTCATTTTCAAAAGAGAAGCAGCAATACTCTCCCAGTAAATGGCCCAATCTGAAAACCTCCTCTTCCAGGAAGCCTTTCTGGATTCTCCAGAGCGGCCAGACCTCTCTTTGTTTTCCAACAGCTGACACCTGCTCCCTCACTTGTCCACATTTCCTTTTTTCCTCCTCCCGGACATGAGGTCCTTTAGGGCAGGATTTTAATGGAGCACTGATGATGGTGCCTTCCACACAGTGAGAGCTCAAGCAATGGGGAAGCAAAGAGGAAACGGAGGGGATGCAGAGCGAAGCCCATGCCGAAAGCGCCCTCCAGGGAGCTGCATGCCATTACCTGGGCAATGATGTCCCCATTCTCAGCGTGGACCTGAGCAATGGCTCCCAGCTCTCCCAGGCAGGTGAAGATCTCGTAGAGCTGAAACAGAAAATGAGTCTGTCACCTTCACAGGCCACCGGTTCAGCAACCTCACACAAGGTCCGATTACGAAAGCCAGAGGGGATAAACCAGAGGAAGTAAGTGCCTAGAGCAGAAATACAGACTAAAACACGCCCGGCCCAAGAGGGGCGCAAGTCCGAAGAAATTCCAGAAAACTGTCTATATACAGAACCTGCTGTGTTGCCTAAGCAGACAGGGTGAACACATAACAATGCTACCGGCCACTCTACTCCCCCTCAGCACACATTTTTAGGGGATTATTTCCCGTTGAGCTTCAGAATCCTTCTCAACCCGTGCTCCCAAAGACCACCACAGCCCGGCCAGAAGCTAACTCGAGAGCTGAAACCCCTATCTCTCAACCTCTCAAAACAGACCTCCCTTCACCTTCTAATCAGGGAAGTTGGGAATTAAAACTTTGTCTAAGACACATCTCACAAATTTCTTAAGGAGAGAGTCAGAGGCAAGCTGGGACAATTCCCCCAAACAGCAGACGGCCCTCCTTATGCTGCAAGGCTGAGCACCTCGCGTGTTCCGAGCTCACAAGGAGTTTGCGTTTGCTTGATAGATGGAGACTGAGGCAGGCCCTTCCTCTTGTCCTCTTGAGAAAGCTGCTGCCAGTGGAACTTCTAGCTCCCTGTCTGCCTTGCCAGTGGCACCCTGCCCGTTACCTGATTTAAAAGGGAGAGTGGACTGCGAGAAGCACTCTGGCCCAGCTGTCTCCCACAGCGCCCGCACTGACTTGTGTTGAAGGAGTCAAGGTCATCAGCAACAATAGGAAACCCATCCAGATACCCCAAGCCACACAGCAATGGATCATTACCTCTGTGTTGGACACCTGGTACAAATCCTTGTAGGCCATGTAAACCATGAAGGAGTTAACCCCTGAAAGAGAGGGAGGGGAGGGGAACAGGAAGAAGACAGCATTATCACAACCACTCTCCATCCTTTATTCCCACTTCTATGGCCCATGGGACCCGAGTACATTACAGGCTCCGGTCCAATGCAAAGTGATGCTTCCCATTCTCCAAGAACATTTTTCTATTCCCTCCTAGCGCCCTGGAAAAGCAACGATTCCTATGTAATGTCATAGAGAACGGTCTCTTCTTCTGCACCTCTTTCTTGCCTACAACCAGCACTCCCCAGCTCACGGGTCAATAAGCTTTGTTTTTGCTGGAGGCAGTATCCTATGTAATAAAGAGCTAATATGCTAATTAGATTGAACAGCAGAATGACCATCTGGATGACCTTCCGGATGAAGCCAAGGCTGCGAAGGCTGGCCGAGGCTGGAAAGGCCAAGCCCCTTGCACGAATTTCATGCATCAGGCCTCTAGTATATATATATATATATATATAAAATTGAGAATCACTGTAGCACACTGGTTGTATTCACACTCTGGAGGTTGCACCACATACTAGTTCAGTGCACTTGGAATATCTAACTTCTTGAGCCTCAGTTTCCTCATCTGTAAAATGGAAAAATAACAATACCCTGCTTTATAAGTGTGGGAAACATTCAATGAGATACATGCCGAGCTCTTAGCACTCACTAACACTGACACATACTTGGTCTCCATGAACAGATCTTAAGGAGGGCCTGCCCTGCACGTGACCACTGCAGGGTTGAATCTGAGAGGACCGTGTCCTTGGAGAACCAACAGAGCTACAGGCGAAAGTCAAGTGTCACCTTGAGCTTAAATATCTAAGTCGTAGGATATTGAGAAATGATCCATTTAGTTTTTCACCTCAAATAAACTACTAATATAGTAATGTACAGAAATAGGTGGGACTGGGGAGCAGAGATCGTTTTGAAAAATGGAGGATAATTTTGATCTCCAACCATCAGGGCCGCCTCAGCCCACAGTGTTCCAGGCCAAAAGTGGCTGCAATTTGAGAACTTCCCTACTCAGAGTGGTTCAACTGAGGGCAGCTTTTCCCAACACCACCCTGCCCACAGCCTCTGTGTCATCCGTGGAATGACCGGGCCCTTTGGAAGGAAATGGGTGTTAAAGCCGTTCCGAAGTCCAGTGTGAAAGGAGACATAAGGAAAAAGGGAGAGGGTTCATCTCACATTCTGAATCAGGAAGGACAGGAGCAGAGCTTGCGGGGTGAGGAGGGGAATGGAAAGGAAAGCTCGTCTTCTGAGAGGTCATCCTCGCCCCTCCATCCCAGAACACACTCTCTTCCATCGCGCTCCTGGCCTTTGCATCAAGACTGTGCGTCCGGCCAGCCCTCCGGCTCGTGCCATCTATTCTGATGCTCTTCACTGGCCTGCTTCCCTCTGCCTCGGTGGCTCAAAAGAGGCCATTCCCTATACTTCCCTACGTCCCCCTCCCCCAGGCAGCCTTAGATGCCGAGCACATCGCGTGTCTGTATGGGGGGTGGTGCATGTGTGTGAAATATCTGGCCATCAAAATGTAGGAAGAAGTGGAGAGTAGAGGAGTCTAAGAAGACCATGGGAACCTAAACCATGTACTCACTGAGAGGAACTCCCCACACCCCATACACACGAGGACATGTTTCATGCCCTAAGCTCCTAGCCTTAGTACAAACACATCTTTGCTCCCAGAAATATCTTAGCTTATCTGAGGATCCTGTTGATATATAATAGTAATGAGTTTGACCTTTGGAATAAAAATAACGAAGCTTAAAAATTCCTCATCTCATGTCCAGTACGTGTGTGACCTTGTATATGAAGTTAACCTCGCCTGGCCTCAGTTTCTTCCCCTGTCAAATGGGCAGCATTGCATGGAGGTGAAGAACCCAGACTGTGGGGAGATCTACTGCTTGCTACTCATTCTAGCCTCATGTTCTCCATCTGCCAAGTGAGGATAATAATTCCCATCTCGTGGAGACCCTGCAAGGAGTAAGAATGATGGACTAAATAAGCGCCTGGAACGCAGTGGTGCCCCTTTCTTCCAGCACGCATGCTTGAGGTTCCAGGCTCCAAGCTAGGAGAAGGGACTCAAATGAGTGGATGTTGTGTGGAGGAGGGGCGAGGGGGAAGGGAGGAAGGCGCGCTGGGGCTCACCTTTGTCTTTGATGAGGCTCTGCACCTCCTGCTTCACACTGTCGTTCCAGTGGGTGATGTCCACGTGCAAGGCATAGTCACAGCAGCTCTTCCCATCGGCCCACTCCCGCCACTTCTCATAGGCCTCCGTCAGGCTGGACTCGGGTTCGGGCACCACGTGGTCGACTGAAGGACAGAGACCCCAGATGGGTGACTCACTGACACAGCCTCTGTTCCCCTTTGCACAGGCCTGCTCCTGCTTGCTTAGCCATGGCTGCAGGATTTCTATTTCTTGAGCACAGAATTAACCTTGGAAAGTGTTGCTGATGACTTAATTGTCATGTAACTATGGGACCTTGTACAAATTACTAGCTTCTCTAGACCTCATTTTTCTCATCCTTGAAATGGGTCCCAAGTGGGGTGGGAGACAGGATGTCATAGTGCCTTCCTTCTAAGTTTGTTATAAGATGAAGAGGGAAAATGCACCAATGACCAAAGTGCTTTGCCTGATGCCTGGCACATAGTAAGTGCTCAACTAACGTTAGCTATCAATGTGTGCATACTATGTGCCATTATTAGCAGTACTGTAGGGAGTCATTAGAACAGATAAAAGTCCAACTCCCTCCTAAGGTGGAGGAAGGGTTTTAGAGTTATATCAGGGCCCAGAAGAGTGACACCCTCACGCTTACTGTCAGACGAGAGCCACTGTCGGCTGAAGGAGCCTGACGCTAGGCCCACAGATCTTATTTCTATGCAAATTCTTCATCAAGAATCCAGTTTCCTTGGGGCCCAAATCTACTCATGCAGTACCTGCAACCTAAACGATATTTTTTAAAATAATAACATTTACAGTTGGTGAGGATAGGGCAAAAGTGACACCCTCAGAGTTCGCCTGGGCAGTAGAGGAAAAGTGAGAATCGGTACAACGTGCCTTTAAACAATTATAAAATAAATGTCAAAAACCTTGGCAATTTTTTCATACCTTAACTCAAGGGTTATTTCTGTGCCTAAGAATTATTCCCACGGGAATAAACAACGCTGCATGCACAATCTGGGTTCTAAAGGTGTCTGTCCGTCTAAATTATTACATATTTACATAAGTGAAAAACTGGAAACAATCGAAATATCTAACAATAGGGGAGTTTGGGTAAATACATAAATTGTGATACCTTCATAAAACAGAGGGTTTGGCATCCATTCTACATGTTGTGGCGGAATAAAAATAAATGAAGGGAAAGACATCCATGCCATTTCATTTTGTGAAAATGGGAGGCGAAAACACAGTGTGTCTATTATGATCCTATTTTTGTTAAATAGGAAAAAAAATATATAGCCAAACTGAAAGAGTGATGTGGAATTTATGGGTTTTCTTTCCTTATTTTCTTTTTCATATCTGGGTTCTTTGTCTACGAAGGACACGTACACTTGTGTGGTTCTTTGTATACTCTTCTCCCTGGCCACCTGGAACTCTGGCTTTCCTCCTGCTCCTTCCCTCACGCAGAAGACTGAGCAAAACACACATCTGCAGAATGCTGACACGCTCAACTCCTTGCCCAGATGGCGGAAAGCCAAGCCAAGATCCCTCATTTCCTCAGCCCTCTATCGCAAGCAGCCTAAGTGCACTTATCGGAAAGCAAATGCGTGCAGCTACATTACTGATGTCTGGACACACACCAGGGCCTCCGTGGGCAGGCGGCTGCTGAGAAGTCAGCTGGCTTCCCCACTTTGGCTGGAATTGCACCTTTTATGGCCTCGACGCAATTGTCCTGGGCTTCCACACCCAGCTAGCTGAAGCTGAAGCTGAAGCCTGCTAGGGCTCCTGTCGAAAGTGAATGATTCTACGGCTTAGGCTGTTCTGTGTTCGTGGGTGGATGTATAAGGTGTTAAAATAAACAGCGCCCTTGCTGACCAAGTTTGGAATGGGGCCTGGGAGGGGACCCAGGTCACTGGGATTCGCTTGGGACAGGAAGGACTGCCCTGGATCACTTTCTGTTCAGTAATCCAATGGCATGCAACTCCCTAGGTTTCCTTGGAATTGTAATAGTTACCAGAAAAGAAAGAAAGAAAAAAAAAAGGAAACCACAGACATAGCTTGCCCAATCTTAAAAATATGAACTGGTCAACAAATAGCTCAGACCAGATAACACCAAACTTTCTGCTATGCTCTCTGCCCCTCCTGCCTGAGACCCAAATGGGAAGTTCTGAAATAACTTTTTGCCCCACTATCCACAACCTTTTCAGTCCGCTTTTCCCAGTGACGGGCCCAGAGGTGGTCATTTCTGATTCTCCATCACCTGCACGCCCGCCCCCAATGCTAAGGAAGACAGGAGAGATGGCTGAGCTCATTGTCATGAACCTCATGCATCTCTTTCATGCAGTTGTGGTGAGCTGCCAATGTCCTCACTCCAACCTGCTTCTGTCAGGACCCATCAGGCAGAAAGTCTACCAACTGTCTTAAGGGACGTGTACAAGTTATCATCAGAGAGCACGGTGGTTAACACACTCCTAACACTGGGGACCAGGAGTGTATAATGTGGGGGAACTTACTGATCATGGTGGTGCCGCCAGCTAAGGCAGCCTTGGTCCCTTGGAAGAAGTCATCCACGGTGGTCATCCCCTTGTAGGGCATCTGGAAGTGAGTGTGGACATCGATGCCTCCGGGGATCACCATCTTCCCATTGGCCTCAATGGTCTTCACTCCTCCAGGGACAATCAGATTGTCTCCAATTTGCCTGGCAAGACAGTGAAACAGCTGGCAATTTAAGAGTGATTTCAAAGACAGACATCTCTATACATAATAGAGAAATACGCTAATTAACTGGGGGAGAGGCTGATCAGCAGCAGCCGTGGCTGCTTCAAGGGTCGGAGAGGGAGGCAGGGCCGGACTGGTGACTCGAGGGTGGGCGGCACCAAGCGATTTCGAATCGCGCTGGGCTCCTAGTAATATTATAACAGTTTTAAACATTGGAACACATTTATCACAGTAGATTCACAAGTCTAGTGATCTAGAAGCAAATAAAAATAGATATACATACAGAAAATCATTTTTACAGACACAAAACAATCCAATGTGCTTTTTGGGGAAAACATGTGTCCTGGTTTAGTACTGTAACCCCAGGGGTTTGAGAGTGTCTAGCACATAGGGCAGCCGTGGGCAAACTACGGCCCGCGGGCCGGATCCGGCCCGTTTGAAATGAATAAAACTAAAAAAAAAAAAAAGACCGTACCCTTTTATGTAATGATGTTTACTTTGAATTTATATTAGTTCACACAAACACTCCATCCATGCTTTTGTTCCGGCCCTCCGGTCCAGTTTAAGAACCCATTGTGGCCCTCGAGTCAAAAAGTTTGCCCACCCCTGACATAGGGTGTGAAATAAATATTTTTTTAGGAGAGATTGCATGGAGTGATGAATCATTTAAAGAATAGGCATGTGAACTTAGCTATCCTCTAAGGGGCTTCACCTGGGCTCCTAACAAAAGAGGTCCTTTGGCACCCCAGTCTTCGCTCCCCAGCCCACCTTTCCTTGATGATGTACCCATCAATCACACACAAAGGCAAGGGAGGAAGTCAGAGCTGTAGCCGCCTATTCTCAGCTGCTTTGGCGGGGTCAGCACCTCAGTGGAAGCTTCCAGCCAAGGAAGATGATTATGCCAACCTCAACCAAACACCTTCCCCCAGGAAGCTTCAGAGCCTCCCAGGGAGAACGAGAGGGGGACTTGGGTGGGGAAGAAGCTGGTGAGTAGGCCAAGGCACCTTCCACCAGGCAAGGAACAAACACAACTAGTCCTGGAACAATGTCACCTCATACACCATCTCATGTTGCTTGAACTATTTGTGACTTCACACCCTTGACTTAAATGGCCAGTTCAACCTGTCCAATGTGGTTTGCAGGTAGGACCCTGATTTATAAGCTCCTACATTGTCATTAAATGCCTCCTACCTTGGGGGATCCAGGAGCCCCACTGCCAGTATCATGAATGTTCCCCCTTTGTTCATAGCCAGCCGAGAAGGAAACTCCCTTGGGGCACCAGAAGTCCACTATTGGCCTGCCAGAATCTTAGTTCTGCAACTGAAGTCAAGTATTTCTGACATCTCTAAGAGTTCAACTTCACCGCATCACCACGGGGCCATTCCAGAGCCACCACAATTCAAAACACACTGTGGAAAAAATGCAGCTCTGATTGGAACCCTATTCTAGTCCAGATACTGGCCAGCCGTGTTTCCGTTTTTCCTCTCTTGCTGGTTTTCCTCTGAGGGAAAACGAGAGCCCAGGGCATGAAGAGCTGTCTGGTCTCTCTGTGTGGATGCACGTGTGCTTGCACCACTATGACAATTAGTACAATACCAAGCCCCAAACAGATGTGCCTTCCTCTTTTCCTCCACTGAACTAACCAAGGTTATATTAATTCCTGAAGGCTGGGCTTCCATCTCCCCTCCTTGGTCAAGTTTCTACTGACAGCCAGGTCTAGTAATTAAGTAAGTGTAGATCAGCTCTGGAATTGGGGTAGCTAGAGGCACAATCTTGGCTTTGCCAGTTACTAGCGTTATGACCTTGGCCAAGTTACTCAACCTTACCAGGTCTCAATTTTTTCATCTGTAAAATGTCATAAAAATGCCTACTCCATAGGGTTGTTGTGGAGATTAGATGTTATTGTGTTAAACTTAAAGGACAATGTTAGGTACATAAGAAGTCAATAGATATCAGCTACTATGATTAATAACTATCCTACTCCCATTTATTAACCAGTCCTCTCCCTCTGAATCTCATCATTCTACTAATTTAATATTTGATGTTGATATTATCTGGTAATGTTAAATCTGTCATGTGTGCGCACACACGCGCGTGCACACACACACACACACAAGCACACACATTATTCAGTTCCCCTGAAATTATGTAAGGTTCCCAGGGGAAGAGATGACTTGGATCCCAAAGGCATCTAACATAGCATGTGACATAGCATGTGTCCAGTGACTAAGACAACTGCCTTGCACATAGCAAGCACTCCATAAAAATTCGCAGGCAAACAACTATGTGGAACAGTTGGAGGAAATAATAGATGCTCCTAGATTTACAGTGGGATTATATGTCCAAATAAACCACTCATACACTGAAAATATCGTAAGTTGAAAATGCACTTAGTATACTTAACTTAACCAAACATTATAGCTTAGTCAACTGAGGACATTTAGATTACCCTAAAGTTAGGCAAAATGACCTCGCTGTAGCTGCCTAGCATCATAAGAGAGTATTGTACGCTCTATCACTAGCCCAGGAAAAGATCAAAATTCAAAGCTTGAATTATGATTTCTACTGAAGGAGTATCACTTTCAAACCATTATAACATGAAAAAATCATAAGTCAAACCATCTTTGAGGACCCCCTGTATTTCTGTTTTTATACTCTGTTAAGAATGTTGTTAGAGACACACAAAATGTCAGGATTGGATGGAGATCATGTTTATCCAACCTTGTCTCCACCACCAACCCACACATCTGATGGTTAAATTCTTTCTATAACATCCTTGTTAAGTGGTCCCTAGTCCAATCTAATAAAGATGCCAAAAGGAATTCATTTTGCATATTCAACTCTGGTAGTAGATGCCTGAATAAGTGTGTGAAGATGGACTGAACTTGCATTTAAGACTCAACTATGAAAAGTTCTGGGATCAATTACTGATGCCTGTCATAAGCTCTGAAATAAGAAAGAAGCATTAGGTAATAATTTTTTTTCTATTTCTGAATCTCTAAGTGAGGGAATTCACTACCTCCAAAGAGAGCCAACTATATAAAATAATATTTAACAATAAAAAATATAAAATCAATTGTGACTGATATTTTGACAAAATTGTTTTATATTGGTTAGCTTGCCTATTATTTCCATTTTTTCCTACTTCTACTATGAAAAATTATTTATGGAAATTGGCAAGGCAACTAAATACCAAATCTTGCATTGTTCATTCATTCATTCAATGTATCTGATTTATATGTTGATCTTTAGCAAATTATTTACTTTCTATGTTCTTTTTTCTCATCTGAGAAGAGGGCAATAAAAGTACTTACTTCATAGGATTTCTGGCAGATCAGATGAGGTAAGGTGTAAAAATATTTAACAGTGCCTGACATACTACATACTCAATAAAAGGTAGCTCTTACAAAAGTGCTAAGTGCTCAATATACTAAATACTAGGTTCAGTGCAGGGAATATGAAAATGAACAAGATATGGTCCTTGCTCTCAAGGGGGCCTAACAGTGTGAGGATTGCTATAATTGATTAAAACACACGGTGTTTTATATTGAAGGGGAAGCTAGCTCAGATTGGGGGGCTGATAAGGAATGTCCACCCACAAAAATTTACTAGTATATCTAAGCCCAGTTTTCAAAGATAAGGAAGAGGTCTCCCATAACCAGAATATTAAACTAGCCAATAAAGTTGAACAACATAAGTATAAAGCTGAACAAGGTCAGGAATGGCTAGTAGGATGAGTTGAATGCACTAGTTTTACACAATATCGTATCCCTTTGGGGATGTACCGTGCCTTCTGTGATGAAAGGCTATGTGTCTATCAAACCCTTCCCTTAAAGGTCACTAGGTAAGGAACCTGCACTTAAAGGTTGCCTGGCTGTGCTGCTTATAGGCATCCAATAGCAAACCATTTTCTAAGTAATTTTACATTCCTAAAGTATCTATTTGGAAATTTGCCTGGAATATATGTCCTATCTGTGCTCTTACCTAAGTCAAAGTTCAGTTTAAATGGCCTCTCCACCCCAAAACCTTCCTCTGGACACTTCTAAATGACTTATCCTCAGCTGAGCTCCTGGGGGACCTATTTTAGGGTGCTATAATTTGTGCACACTTTTCAGTATCCTTAAGGACAGTGGTCACATCTTCCACTTCTCCAAGACACATAGGAAGCCCATCAACGCAGCTGGCCCAAAGTGCCCTCCACCTCAGTGCGTTGATCAAACTCAGGTTTTACACTTTATTCATGTGATCCAAGTGAACGAAGGCTAGCTCCCACTTTTGAAGAATGATGTGCATCCAGACTGAGGGGTGAAAATAAAGATTCATTTTTAAGGAGAAGAAGACATGAAACCAAAGAGATAAAGAGAAGGGTTCCAGATACATACTTGATTAGGCCATCTTCCATGTAAATATCAGCATAAAAGGACTGATCATCGTTGACGATTCTGCCTCCCTTGATAAGAAGACGGTCACTCTAGAAGAAAAAGAGAACAGCAGTCATTCTCGCAGTCAAGACTTCAGAGAAGAGTGGTCTGCCAAGGTTTTCCCAACTCCTTGCTTTGGAAGTCCAGTGAGAACACACTTACTGATGCCATCTGCGCGCTCAATGCACTCAGCCTTTGAACTGGGGGTATTTGCTGGGGACCCCGTCTTTCGCCTTTGCTTCTAATACAAATTATTCTGGAGTTTCACCTCTTGCTTCTGCAACCTACCATAACAAATCAGAAGCGTAGCTACTTGAGGGAAGACACTCCTTTTATTATGTTTCTGCTTCATTGAGCATTCAATATTTAAAGTGGTAAAACATATACTTCGGTGCCTACCACCCAGTTTGGTATTTTTGCTGATGCTCCACGTGATTCTCAAAACCACTTAGGATCCAGCATACCATGAAACAGCCTTTAAAAGTCTTTACAATGACATGGTAGTCATGTGACATTTAAAATTCAGGATACTTACACAGGTATGCACACATGCACACAAAGTTGTGGAATGTATAAGAAAACTACTCGATGGAAAAGAAGACAAAACATCTATAGTACTTAACTCAAGGTGAAAAAAATTATGCAGGATTCATATTTGCTTCATTATATTCAGTATCTCTCTCACATCTGCAATATATTTCTTTATTGCTTTTATTATTAAAAATTGCTTTTCTTGATGAGAAAAGTCTTTACAAATTACAACTTAAATGAAGTTTGGAGAGTGATCCAACTGGAAACAACGCACGTAGATTCCAAGATTATTCACAAAATACAAATATGTGTTTTACATGTAAGTCAGGAGATAGACAAATCAGTGTCAGCTTTAGAGACTGAAAATGTCATTAAATGAATGGAGCTTAGACTGCAGCATGAGGGATGGGTGAAGCTTCCTTAGGTTCATAGGGGAGAAGAGAAATCTTAGGTTGAGTGCACCAGAGCATGAAAAAGAATAGTAGGTTGGGTTTTGTTAAGGTTTAAACTTAAGGACTTCATCCGCCCACTCATTCAGCAAATCATTATTTAATATGTATTATTCAATAGGTGGGGATGGTGCCCTTGTGAATGAGTCACGCAGGTCATAGCATTTATGGAACTTATGGGGCAATCTGGCAATAAAGAAAAAAGAAAGTCAATAAAACAAATAAAATGTAAAAATGTATTAAGTGCCCCCAAAATATAGGGGAGTGGAGCTTGTCTATTTAACTAGAGGCTGGAAAAGGCCTTTTTGGGAAGATCAATTTAGATGGGGTGGAGATGGAGAACTACAGGCAGAGGGAACAGCGTGTGCGGAGCCCTGAGGTAGGGGTACGTTTGGTTTATTTGAAAACCTGAAAAAGAGCAGTGTGGGGGGAGCTTGGGGATCAAAGAGGAAAGTGGCATGAAATGAAGTTGGTGAGGCAGACATTGGCTTTCAAAGACAACATAGGTGTTATTTTAGTTTTTAAATCTTTATTATTGAGAGTATTACCTATGTCCCTTTTCCCTATGTCCTGCCCCGCCCCAGGCCTTCACCATCCTATTGTTTGTATCCATAGGTAAAGTACATATGCATATGTTCTTTGGTTAATCTCTTCTCGAAGCTTCCTTCCCTCTGAGATTCTTCAGTCTGAGAACATAGGTTTTATGGGGAAGGAAGCCCTACACAAGAGCTGACCTCTGGCTTCAAAAATTAAAGTGGACAGGGCCAGAAAATGAGAATTGAAACGAGGGATCCATGAGCAATAAAGCAAATTACCACTTAGTTTCTCCTGCTTCCAAGGTATTGCATGAGCATAAGAAATTTCATCATGCCGTATTGTCAGGGGAGAGGATTTTTAAAAGATACTGATCAATGAGGCGCTTAGAAAGAACCTATATATGTGGTGAGGAGATGCAGTAATAAGGTCAAATACAAACTCCCAGCACCCATGATCTACAAGCCCCTCGTGATCTGGGCGTGGTCAGTATGTCTACCCTTCTTTATATCATGTATTGCCTCATATTTTATACAACAGCAGAACTTGTTGAAGCGTGTAGTTCTTATCTCATATCAGGCTGAGCTTTTGCAAAGATGTTCTCTCTGCTTTCTCATTTGTTTACCTGGCACCCAACAACCGTCCTCTCCTTTGTTCAGCCTACAGTCAAAGGGTTTCTCCCTTAGGACACGTTACCTGACTTTCCAGCAAATTCCACCTGCTGCCATTGCAATTTAGTTCACACAATTATATTGCTCTATAATAGCTGGCTTATTGTTCAATTGTCTCCTGACCAGACAAAGACTCTCTTAGTCTTGGAACCATGTGTCTTTTGATCATTTTACCTTAGTTCCTGCAGCCCATCCTTGACAGCTGTTAGGTGATGGCCAAATGAATGAGTGAAGGGTGGGAAACAGGAAGTTGTATTATATCGGTATGATGGAAAGGCCATCTGAGTCAGAAAATTATGAAAAGGGGCCAAAAAATTGGACTTTTATGTAAAAAAACCTGGAAGGCAATTCTAATCTACTGGTTTAACAGCAATTGAAAATTTATGAGGCAGTCAGTCCTAGGACTGTGCTTCCTACACTAGAGAACACAGATTCCCATGCCCTGCTCTAGTCACATCTATACTTTATAAGCACCATACACAGCTCCGGTGTCATCAGCCAGCCCAGGACCAAGTCACACATCAGTAGCAGAAACCACTGCCCCAGGCACGGTTCTGTGTGCTTATGAGGGTGACAGAAGCACCTCCAGTAGGAGCTTTGTTATAACAACAATCTTGGTAACTATACTAGTAAGAGTCCCCTCTTGTAGCTCAGTGCTTTTCTGATATTCTTTTATCTTTCTACAAAGAGGTGAGGTAAGCTGGGTTTTAGAAAGGAGCCAGTTACTGCCTGAACGGAGACCAGCTACGAAATATGACCATCCTCCTGCCTGGGGACATCCATCCCTGAGCCACTGGCCTGCTCATCACTTCCTTCAACACCTATCAAATGTCAGCCAGGGGCAGAAGCTATCTCAGGCCCCATGTACATTGGGGAATTAATAAGAGCTGATCTAAGTGGAGTGAACACCATTGGAAACCCTTCACATGATAATTAAATACACCTCCTCAGGCACAATAATCAGGGATCTAAACAGAGCCACCAAAACCTCAATTCACAGAACTCCAAGAGATGCTGCCCTGGCATCCTCAGCTTGTCCCCCTAACTTTTATGTAAGTGGTTAATAAAACTGCTTTATTCACATTAACTCTTTCCATGCATGTGGGATGGGATCCACGACAAAGGGCAGCCCAGGCAGACTGTTACTAGACACAGAAAAGTCTGAAAAGCCAGCCTTGGGCTTGTCATTGAAGGATGACATACCTGCTGACCACTCCCAAGCCACATAAAACCAAACCTCACTTGTTACAGAACATGCTCGTTCGTGAATTCCTGGATCAGCTTTAGAGAGTAACTAACACATGCTGGGGTCAAAAACCAACAAGACGAACACATCTGACTTCTAGGATTAGAAGGATGACGTTAGAAAGGATGGGTGATTGTGGCTTTGTGGGCTTTCTGTTCCCGGCAGCTGAAGTTGTCTAGCATCCATGAGCTGATGCCCAAGGAGGTAAAATGGTCTCGTTAGGAGCCTACCAATGTTTCTCCTGGAATGAGGTATAAAAAGGATGAGGGTATTGCTAGAGCACACTGGGATAATCTGGAGGGTATCTGGAATGCAAAATGAAGCTATTCAGAGCCCGAAGCAATCAGCCCAGGACTCTCTCTGCCTTAGACCCTGCACAGTCACCCAGGGCTGAGTGTGGCGAGCTCTGAGAGCCCATAGGAGTGCCGGGCATACCAGCTAGTAAGTGTGGGTCCAGCTGGGTTCTCCCACTACTGGGAGAGTTGGGCAGACCATTTAACGAGGCGTGTGATCTTGAGTTAGGACTTAACCTCTCAGAATCTCAGGTGTTTTTTTATTAGCTAAAAGTGGATATAATAGCTAGCTTGTCACACAGGGTGGCTGCCAGGAATAAAGTGTGTGTGTGTGTGTGTGTGTGTGTACACATATATAAACTATCCAGCACACAAGTAAACATCTCTAAATATTAGTTATATTGATTCCATTCATATTATTTACATACCCTAATATTTTAAAGCCTTAAGAAGTATGTTGAAAAGGGGTGACTTCCCATTTATCAAAGAGAGGTGAGTGACTTCCTCTGAGTGACAGAGTCGATTAGTTCCAGTTGGAAGAAAATCCAGGTCTCTACCTCGAGGCGCTACACCCGTTTCCATCGGAAGCCACTGTACCAAGTGTCTTAACCCGTATGACAAGTGGCTCTTCCTGACAGGGCTCTCTTCGCTGTTTAATACTGACTCTGACTGTCAAGTGCTGAAACTGCTGACCGGTGCTCTGCGGGAGGTAACCTTAGGAATCCAGTAACTTTCCACCGCTGCCACTTACAGAGAGTCAGGGCAGTAAACCTGCCCCGTATGTGTCAATGCAGTTCATAAAGGGACCTGAGTCACAATCCAGGGTAGCACAGGTCCCTGAAGCCTGAGAAAGTGATGAAATCAAATCTTTTTTCCTTCACTAGTATATACAGATAACTAAGACAAACCAATACAAAAAATTAGGAGTTTGCACCCTAGCCAGTTTGGCTCAGTGGATAGAGCGACGACCTGCAGACTGAAGGGTCCCGGGTTTGATTACGGTCAAGGGCACATGCCCCGGTTGCAAGCTTGATCCCCAGTAGGGGGGTGTGCAGGAGGCAGCTGATCAATGATTGCCTCTCATCATTGATGTTTCTATCTTGCTCTTCCCCTCCCTTCCTCTCTGAAATCAATAAAAATATATTTTAAAAAAATTAGGAGTTTGTGAGAATGAGGGAGGGGGGAGAGAGAGAGAGAACAAGGGAGGCAGGGATGGAGGGAGAGTGGAGAGGAAGGAAGGCAGGAGGAAACAGTTGTAACAGGAAAGGCTAGGGTTCCAATGAGAATAGAGAATGAAAGAACAGAACCTTGAACTCAAGCCTATT